TTATCAAAAAAAAAGAGTGATAACAAGTTTTACGACAGATAAAAAACATAATATTTTACTTGTGAATTCTATTTTTTAAAATCAATGATTACGAGAAGGTAATGCGCATACATTGTCGAAAAACCATAGCAAAGATAATACGACAAGAACAATAACAACAATTGATAATTTATCAATGATAAATTCAGATATGCGTTAACGAATTATACATTTAGTTTGAAGATGTCAGGATGAAGTATATCTGAACTAAACAAAAAACTGAAACAGTTCGAAGTTTACATACAATGAAAAGAAAAGTGTAAACAATTTTCAATAAGTGTCAAATTGACACTTTGTCTTGATGAGCAAAGTGTAAAATAGTGTCAATCGAAAATCGCAAGGGTCTTGGACACTTTGTCACAAAGGCGGACACCCGCTGTTAGAAACACTGTTTACAACAATAATTAAAGTGTTTGGTTGGAAGAGAGTAATGATTGAAAAGTATTACTGTTCAAATAATCTTTGGAGATCTTTATCAAAAACATTCAGTACTTGAATGGACAAGCCTAATAGCGATGTTGACCAATGTAAAAAAAATGTTACAATTACATATAAAACCATAAGTGAAAAATAAATAAACAAAATATCACCTGATACTAAATCATAGCAGAATGATCATCTAGTGTAGTTGCGGATGTTAAGCAGTTAGAACCAAAAGCCATTCACTTAGGTTCACGCTACATTCAGACCCTCATCGTGTTGGATTAACTATTAGATGATTTCTTTTCTTTGTTTTGTTTTTGACTTATGGTTTTATGCAAGGGTGAAACAGCTAAAATCAGATTTTTTTTTGATTTTTCTGATTTTCATCTTTGATTTTAATCAAAAAAATCAGCTGTTTCCCTCTTGGGTGGACCCCAGTCGAATTTTTGGACAAAAATAAAAGTTATCAGGAGACTTTGCAAAGTATATAGATCGACCCAGTCTTTTGCGCTGATTTCAAATATACAGTTGTTTGGGACAAAAGTCAGGTTATATCAAGGGGGAAAAGCCGGATCGCGGATTTTGGGATCGTATGGATTACCACCGTATCCCGGATACGAGAATATCATGAAAGTCGACAGGATCAGAAAGTGAAATGGCGTATTCATGAATCCGATTTTGCTTTCTTGGATAAAAAACGGCGATGTCAAAACTACTGAGTATCACAGTTAGAAGTTCATTTATAACGTTGTATAAGTCAATATTCATGCAACATCACTGGACTTGTCTTCAATCAAAGTTGTTACAGTTTTCTGATGTTGAAATATGTAGTGGAAATAAAAGTTTTAAGACTTTTGACGTAAATTGTTGACAAACATACTGCTCAGTTCCCAAAGTACGTAAATATTGCCGAGAACGCTACCCACGAGAGAGTACATTTATTTAGTCTTTTATTATAGACATATTCCAGCGAAAACAGATCGGTTTTCCTTGAGCCGCTCAGTGTTTACATGCCTTAACTTCATATAATAGTCGAAAAATATAACTTCCTCAATACGAAGAGATGCACAGCAAAATGATCATTTTTGCAAATACTATATGAATATAGATATTCCATGAAGAAATCGTGCTAGAAAGCTGATATTTTGACTGTAGTAGAATTTCATAGAGCACTTTCAGTGGCAAAAATATAATGCTCTAAATACTTGAAAAAACGGGTGGGGAGCGTTTTGAGCATCGAAGGAAAGGTGAAATGAGCACCAAATTTATCTATGTGGAATAAGAAAATAAATAATGTCATCTGACAAAACAATATGAACAACACCAAAATAGTAATAAATAAATAAATATTATGGAAAGATGATTATTACAAAAAAAAGTTTATGATAACAAATTAGTTCGAACTCTTTTCGATCTACCGTTGCCACATCGTTTACCCAACAATTGCAAGTGAGTTTTACCGTTAACTTCGTATTTATTGAGCAGCATAGTTAATTCAATTGAGGGTGTGAGTGTGAGTCTGCGTGGAACTGAAGTTCAAGCAGAACACCCAGACCCACACCCTCACACCCACGCCCCAATATAAGCGTCGTCTAGTGTTTTGACGATTTTAAAAATTTGATATTCTTTACTTGAAATATTTTTTTCTATAGATAACTTTTATTTCTTTTACACTTCTTCTATATACAAATCATTATTACAATTAATTAGATTATTTATGAATGTCATTGGATTAATCAATATAAGTAGAGCTAATCATAATTTAATAGAAAAATACCTATTAACTACAATTTTAATTCGTTTAAAGCTTAATTGATATATTTTGTACTGCTCAGTTCAGTTGGTGCTCATTTCACTCTTTTTTGGTGCTCAAAACACATATAATCAATTTGGTGCTCATTTCACTTTTTTTTCGGTGCTCAAAACACATTTCTTCCTGGAAAATTTGTTTTATTTTGTTTTAATTGAAGTGAATATAAGTGTATCTCCTCTCATCATTTAAAACGACACATGAAAAAGAAAAAGCAGAGGCGGTTAAGCGTTTGTTCTTTGAATTGTTGTCGACGTATACATATATCTATACTAATTGATGTGTGGGTGTGTATAGCACGACAAATGAGATGAAGCTTGTCGTGTTGATATGATGTTTAGAATGAGCAAAGCTGACAAGAGAGCAGAAGGAATCAGCCATAAAATATGTTCACTATATATACATAAGTGTCGAATGTAATCATCATCATATACAAAACAGACAAGGACAAAAAGTCACTTCATATTTAGATCGCATTGATGAGATGACTTGTGCGAATTGAATCACATCGTATCTTACATGCGTGTAATCGGTTTGGACAGCAATGTATGCATGCATACGAGCCTACATTCTAATTGAGGTTGCTGGCCTGTATCCTAATGTATTTGTCAGCATCAATTAGAACGAGAGCATGTCGATGTCATCAGAAAGAACAAATACACAGATGGAGTGACAACAATCATTTAGCAAGATAGATATCGAACATTGTCGTCAACGTCAATGTATATACTTGCTTGTCATAAAATATAGCGGAAAAGAAATATGAGTGAAATGAAGTGTCAAATGACTACACAAAAAGAAGAAAAAAAGAAAAAAAAGATATCTATCAAAATGACTTTCGTCAGATATCGACTATGTGAATTAAATCTTAGTCATCTGTTTAATTCGAAAGAAACTTTATTTCTATACACATAAAATCACGATAATATTGACAGTTATGATTAGTATTTGATAATAAGTTCAGAAAAATCAAATACTATTTTTGTTGCTATCATACTTTATTTTTTTCTTTCGATCATGTTTCTTGTGATACGTTTTGTTTTGTTTTTATTGGATCGTTTGTTGTTTTCTACATTTGAAGATAGATATAATATGTATCAGCACATACACATTCGATTCCTTCATTTATCATTATCTCATTTACATCTCTTTTGTTCTTTTCGTTTGCTTGTCTTCTCGCGCTTGTCGAGATAGGTCATGTTTCGCATCATCATCATCGCCATCGTTCGTCGATAAATCATTCTCATGCTGCCTGACTGCTTTCTGCTTGTCAGAATATTGTTATTACGACATACACAGAACGATTGATGATAAATGATGAGAGCTCGGCTCGTTTGTACTAGCATGATGTGGAGTCTCCTATGCTATGCGATCGATCAAGATCATTATTCGTGTGGGTGAGTGACAAATGAGCGACCGATGATGATGATGATGATCATGCGCATGTCGAGACGATCGATATACAGACATAAATGTATCTTTATGTGCATGTTTTATGTCATCAGCTAGTCGACTGATCATCATTATCAGTCGGTCAGCCAGTTGTGATGACAAATCGACAGGAAAGTTCGTTTTTTCTGTCACAATTGTCGACATTCATCATTAAAATGGGCCAAATTACTTCGAAAGGTTTGTTCCAATAATATGGACAATATCATTACTATTAGATAAAAAACTAAAAATAACCGTTTCTTTTTATGAAATGAAAATATACGTTTTATCAAAAGATTTATATACAAAAAAAAATATGGTAGGTAATATTAAAATGATTATTATTATAAATATTCATTGAAAAATATCAGAATCTAACTTTTATTTCATTATCAAAAGATAACATTCATTTTTGATGATTTATGTTATTGAAATTACTTAAATTTTTTTCTCGAAAATATTTATCATAAATACTATTTTTCTTTTTATTTAATATATTTAATCATGAGATCGATTGAAAAGATAATTTTCTAAAGCATTTTATCTCGTTTCATGACCACCTCCTGTCACTTTTCAATACAAAAAACATATGTGATCAATGATTAATGTTTATTTTAAAAAATGATCTATTAATCAAATTGCATATCTCTTTCAATTCATTTATGTTTGACATTTAATGAACTTTATTTGTAAAAAAAAAGAAGAAAACATTGACATCAATCGCGTGTAGATATGTGAGAGCGCCTTCGTTTATCATTCTTCGTTTATGTACATTTATCTATTTGAACCGATTGACAGTTGATCGATGCTCATAGTTCTATGATTGTGTGAAGGAAACATAAAAAATTGTATGTAGAGAGAATGCGGCAAACTGCATTATCATCAGAGAAGAGAGACAGAGAGAGAATAGATGGAATCTCTCTTCGTTCTTGTCATCACTCATCTTTTTCTTTTCTCTTCTTACTTGCTCTATAATTGGCATGTGTCAAGCAGCGGTGTATGCATACTCGCTTGGAGGTCTCGAGCATGATCATCATTTATCACACACATAAATCTCTTCTCTTATTCGTACGCTTGACAGTTGGATAGAGAAAAATGAGAGCATAAGAAAGAGAAAAAAAACAGAGAAAAAGAAAGAGAGAATGATATGAGAAGAAGTTAGGAAAAGCTTTCATCCATTTATTCATTGACTTTTTAGATAAAGATTACAAATAATAACAACAAGCGATCATCATTGTTATTATTATTATTATTATTATTATTATTATTATTATTAATATTAACAATAAAAACGAATATGTCTTCCACAACAGCTACTAATGCTTATATAAAACCGGACTATTTACAACCACTTAATAGCACATCTTTTTCTTCTTCATCCACTTCCGTATGTGTTAACTTAATAGTTTTTAACATTGAAATGAATAAATTAAAAAAATGATTATCTTTAATTTCAAATTATAGTATGATTCAAGTCAAAGCCCATTGGCTCTACTTGCTCAAACATGTTCAAGCATTGGTAAAGATTCTCCATCACCACCGTCGTCATCATCATCATCTTCATATTTGTCTTTGAATACATCATTGCTACCTAATACAGCTCCGCCTATTATCACATCTCTCGTAAATAAATCTTCATCCACTCTTTCATCAGCAGTTAATACTGATAAATTGTTGTTATCATCTAAACGCTCATCACCATCACAGCCAAATAGTACACTTGCTAATAAAAAGTCAACTCCTCCAGTGAAACCCAGTACCATTGTACCATCATCGTCTTTCGTCGAATCAAATCCATTATCAGCTCATTTACCACCACTATTTGATCCAACAACAACTACTGCTGCACTTCTACTTCGTTCGTCTCTAGCTTATCTAGCTGCTCAGCAACAACAGCAGCAACAGCAGCAAGAACAACAACAACAACAACAACAACAACAACAACAACATCATTCATTTTCAACACCATGCACACTTCCTGGTTGTTTACAATGTGAAACAGTTCGACATATTCTTGCTGCTTCAGTTCATACTCAACCATATTTGTGCCATTGGTTTTCATGTAATGCTAGATTTTCATCAGCTGATGAACTCATTGAACATTTACGACATAGTCATACATCAACAGGAAAAGCAACTTCAATGTATCAACATCATAATCATCATCGTTTTCATCCTTATTTAAAGCCTCCATTGATGCTAAACAACAATGATCAGTTACCATTCTTTTATCCTCACTTGTCTTTGTCACCGATGACAGGAACAACACGACGTACAAACAATAATACAAACAACAATAATTAATCTTCATCTCGCTTTTCTCTCTCTTTATCTTGAAGCAAGGTCATATCCATCATGTGATTTTTACTATGTAGATTAAATAACAGATGGAATGATACCTTTCGACTGATGTCTGTGTATTTCATCACTAATTACAGAAATTAACGCGTGTCTTATTGTGCAGTCATTCACACACTTTGACATTTGTATAGACATACAACAATGATTGACACAACTAGCGTTGATAGTATGTCTGTCATCATATTTATGATCAGAAAACCAAGCCATTCATTCATTCTTTTCTTTTCTTTTTCTTTTTTCTTTTTTTGTTGATCTTAGAAGTCTGTATATGTATTCGAGTTTATTTGTTGATACAACACTTTATCTTTTGATCTTAATTCTCTATGCCATCAGTCTATAAGATATTTTTTGGATATCAAGATTATTACATGTGCTTAGCAGATGATTGGATAAATAGAGAAACGAGATAGTTTTGGTGATTAGAAAAAACTTAGATATTTAAAACAATGAAAAATCTTGCTAGTTTACTTTTTTCAATCATTGAGAAAATATTTTGCGTTGCGTGACATAATCAATGAGAATTTACCTTGTTTTCTTTTTATGACAAGAATATTTTTATTTGACATTGATTCAAAATGAAAGTTTGATAGATGAAGTTAACAAATCAATAATTTATTTTAATCATTTAATGCTTGTTCATGATCAATTTTCTAATTATTTTAAATTGCGAAGTTATCTGGTACTAGATAATTCAAATAGTTAGTTATATTAATTATAAGAAAAAATGAAGGAGATCATTAATCAATGTGTTAAACTAAATCAGTAGTTTTAGTATCTTTTCTATCGGGTTCTATTCCCAAAGATTAGTTCAAAGAAAAGGTTAATGATTGCAATTTGGAATTATCATTAGTAACTGAAGGTTACTTTGACATTTAAGATATGAAAAATTCGTACGTATGCATGACAGAACTTTGAAGCTAAACTATATTAATAGCGTCAACACTTTTGCGTTTGGAATTTAAATGAAATGGAACGAAATGTATTTTGTAAACTGTTGACTAAAAATAAAATGTAAATGATGGAACTACACAAAAATAATTCAGCTAAAATAGTTGTTAGTTTCTTATATCAGACTGTTCAAGAGTTAAAAGGAAAGTTCAAATTTTTAATACATGAACATGGTTGGAAACAAGCATTAAACTCTACTACTGGTGACCAGAAGAACGGATAAAGAAACGCACAGATATTGAGAGATGAATTTTAAATTGAATCAATCGGCAAATTAACGTTGTCTTTTTTGTTTTTGTTTCGAAATGATGAATGTTTTCGGACTGGTCTCTTTTTTTTTTGGAGAACATTTCCCTTGATCTTATTGCAAAGAATACATTTAATCTATTGTAATAATTAATCTAACATATGCCTGTTAGTCGGAAATTAAAGTAGAAGAATGATATGAAGCAATATTTTAAGGCTGTGGCCTAGTCAATAAAAGAAACGCCAATCTAATTAGTTCTGATTGAGATTTTTTTAAAGTTTCTTTCTCATCTCTGACTTGAACAATAATTTCGCTGAATAATATTCGGTTGCTTACAAATGATAGGGATTCTTTCATATTCGTCGTGGAACCATTATTAATAGAGTTCATAACCAATAAAAAGAAGTTTCAAAATATTTAAAGTGCTTCGTTGAATTTATTTAGACATCTAGTGCTAACTCAAAAGGAAAGTTTTATGAGTGAGGCAAGGAAAATATGCGTCCTTAATTGAAGTAAAAATTTTCCATCGAGAATATTTCATTTGACTATCTTGGCGCGCCTAAACCTTTGTCTGTATCAGTTAATGCACCTTCCTTTACTTTATTTGTAGAAATACTAATACTTCTTTGCTAATGGATTCAATTTTGCTCTTTCCTACTAAAAAACTATAGGTATTCGGCATGAAAAAGAAGCACAGAAAACGTTACTACTATGTTATGCGTATAGAACGATAGAATTATTAGATATCGGAACATTTCTAACTATTACTGATTCATTGATATACGATTTTGATACTAGAATCTATTAGCAGAAATAAAAATCTGTTTTCAATGCTCAAGATTAAATTTTTAAAATCATATTAACCTACTATCCTGCTAAATTGAACCGTGATTGAGACGCATTTCTATGATGTATCGAGTGCACTTGATTTTTACTGTTATAATAGATAGCATATTGAATATGATTTATTTTTGGGAATAAACCAAAATTATTGATTTGAATAAACGATTGATGTAATATCTTCTGCAAATGCTTCATCCGAATAGCTCGTTATTAGTTTTATCTTCATTTGTATCTGATAGTTGTAGAATTAGTTGATCATAAACTACCATTTCAATTTTGATCTTCGATATAAACGTTGGTTTCATTAGCAGCAATTGGTAGAATTACTTATGATTCCAAGATTAAAAACATCATAATAGAATGATTCGTAAATATTCGAAAGATGCGTCCGTGAAATCATACATTCTAAATTGGAAGGTGCATTATTCACTTGATCGATAATAGCTATATTTCCTTGTTTTGCATTTAATCATAATTTAATTGTGACTTGACAAGAGATTCTTGTTACGAACTAATTAAATGAATTGCACTCACTAATAATATCAGAAAATACATGTTAAACATCATATCTTCTGGCAACATGCGCTGTATTATCAGATTCGATTCAATAACGCGCGTTATTACCGACAGTTACTTTTCATTAAATATTTTCCATAACCGTAAAAACGGTTCCTATAGTTAACTAACAGAGACTATTGTACTTTGATAAGAAATTCAACTGAACTGATTATATCGTTTATTCATAAACGATTGACAAGGAGTTCATTATCACCTTCAATAATTATGATATACTTTCTGTGAGTTCCATTAAATCATAGAAAATATATCGGACGATGCAGTGATAGAGTCATCATTGACAGAATGTGTTTTTCATTAAATTAAAATTGACAAATATATTATTCGATACTCAAGAGTTATTTTATGTTTACAAAAGCATTAGTTTCATTATAGTATGATACTAATTGGTTGATTTGGAATATTTTTGCTTATCATAATTAATTTGATGATTAGTAATTTGTTGAGCATGGGCTAATTCTAATAGATATGCTTAAATGATGTCATGTAATTTTGTGCCTAAAACAAGTGAGGGTTATGCGCTCATGTTAGATGATAATACTTGATGATTGATTTCAATATTTGTTTTTTATTGAAAAATTCTAGAAAATGTGTCAAATGAGAATCACAAGAATTTCCTTTAATCGATTTTCATTGAGGATTTTGAAGAGGTAGAAAAAAATCTTTACTCATAGATTTGATAACATTTATAGACGAAGGAAATGTTTTATTTATAGTATTTAAGGAAGCAAAAAATGGTTTGTGGTCGATATTGAACACGTTGTTTTCTATCAAAAGTTGAAATATACTTAATCGCACTGATTAGTATGAAAACATTGAATATATGTTTTTTCATCATCATTAATCGAAATCAATCGGAATGAGCTTTGCAATAAATAAAGAACTAGAGATAGTTGTTTTTTTTTTATTGCTAACGAGATAAATTTGTTGTGATTTTAAACGAAAAGTTGTTTAATATGAAATAAATAGAACAAAACAATAAAAATGCAAAAATATTGAGATAAACCAATCTGAATTGCACATATAATTAAAAATGAAAGCACGACGATCGAATGAATTTTATTTATACTTATTATTTGTTAAATTTCGGAATGGTCTATTTATTTTTTAATATTTGTCGATCCATTTCAATTCCCTGAGCTGGGTGCTAATAATTGTGAGATAAATTCATCCTTTTGGCATCCCTCTATAAACTGTGCCATTGATAATGTATTGCATCGGTCACTAGATATATTATCAAACATTCGCATCATACTATGTTTAGCTGAAGCAACTAGCTGTTCTGGATCTGAACTTTCCAGATCGGATGATTGATTTTGATTAAAACGTACAATAATATTGATAACTTCTAAACATTCATCTCGTGTTAATAAACCATTTCCATCAATATCAAATACGTGAAATATCCACTCAAGCTTAGTTGTTGGTGAACTTGCTGATGACGTCATTGATAAACCGATAAGAAATTCACGGAACTCAATTGTATTTGATCTATCAAGATCAAATGCACGAAATATGTGACCAGCAAAAGTGTCAGCATTGCCTGTTGGACATAATGATTTATAGATTTTCAGAAATTCTTTTCGAGTCATATAACCATGTGGACAGTCGTTTAGAAACTTTCCATGCCTTAAAAAAGCAAGACGAAATTTATATTATGCCAAAATTTTATTTTTATTCTTATTTGTTTACCATGTTACAATGTCTTCACTGCTGAAATTTGTTGTTTTCAATAATATTTCTATTTCTTTTTCAGATAATTGTTTTGGTGCATGTGAAAATCGTCGTTTTACTTTTTGAAAATTTGTTTCAATTTTATCAAAAAGTCCACTATGTTTTCGGTCACTTGATATACTATATTGTTGTTCTCAAATCACCTAGTTATTTGTTATAGTTTCATATCATCGAACTAGTCAATGTATTATGAGTAGAAGAACATTGAACTTTGTTTTTCTTTTATTACTCTGACGAAACTCGAAAACAAAATATTTACACGATTTCATATATTGATTTGCTTTCGCTATAAAACCGCTACGAGAAAGAATTTTGAGTATATCTGTATTTTTTGCGCCACTTGATTATTATCACAATTAGCTTGGATTATTACACATTAGAGAAAAGTGACTATTAGATCATTTATTTTCATGGATGTCATAGCCTCTTCGAAGCTACGGTATATTAATTTCTACGATGTTATCCTTTCTTGACATTCATAAACATTAAGAGTTCATTTTGTTTCAATATGATCATATTTCTACAAGATTAAACATTTAAACTTCAATGTCAGAAACATAAATGATTTTGACTAAACACGTATCTTTAGTTATAGAAAATGATATTATAATGCCTACAGATAGTCATTTACGATATAATCGACTATGATAAATAGAGACGAAAAGGGCGAAGGTGCTGTCCTTTCTCCTTATCAGTGATAAATAGTTCTTTGGAAAAGTTTTTTCTTGTCTACTCGTGTTTTAACAATTTATGACTCTAATCACATGAATTTTGTTTGAGAAACAATTCAACTAGTTTTTTTTTCTGATAAAAATACCTTGTCTAAAGTATCTCATTGGTAGAAACGAGTTCTCTTATTACAATAGTTTGTTTCTATTAGAGAATCCATCTTTCTCAATGCTTTTTTCTAGGCTTGCCTAATAGTTATTTAATATTTTCTTTTTCATTATGATTTCAAATAAAAATTTTCCTGTGCATATATTATATTTATTTGGTGTCTGATAGATCATGAAGTTAGATGATGTTATTATAAACTAAGGAGTGCTGCTCGTCGGATGGTATTTCTCAGAAACAGTCAAAATCGAATTTCTGACAAAATGTGTTGTTGTCTATTTTTTAAAATTATGTAGACCCATTTTTAATGCTGAAAATAGATTACATAAATTAAAGAAATTATGATTGTTTATTACATATTTTAAATCAGACAAATCATTCTAACAATACATATGGATGGATTATATATAATTTATTTGATGAATTCGAACGAATTTCGTTAATAATGAAAGTTTGGATATTTATAGACAAAGTTTCAAAAATTTGATGGTCCCAATCATTGAATTATAACTTAAATCTTGTTTTTCTCCCGTATAAATTCACCAGAACAAAAAAGAAACCGAGTTTTATGTGAACAATTAAAACACAATTTAGAAAATAATTCAAATTTTATTTGTCTATATTTTTATCTTGATTCAACTATAAATGTTTACAAATACTTTAATAAGTCATTGAAATTAGGAACGACATATTATTGAGCTATTGATTCGATTTTTAATTTGATATTGAACTAATCAAAATTTCTTTTTCATTTCTTTTTGTTGATAATGTAATATTCGATTAAAACCTAGATAGTGTACTACTCGATGAACGACGAGAGTCAATCGTTGAGTTTGATTGACNTCAGATAATTGTTTTGGTGCATGTGAAAATCGTCGTTTTACTTTTTGAAAATTTGTTTCAATTTTATCAAAAAGTCCACTATGTTTTCGGTCACTTGATATACTAGATAGTGTACTACTCGATGAACGACGAGAGTCAATCGTTGAGTTTGATTGACGTGATTTAGGTAACGGAGAGCTATTCAATGACTCAGTGCTGGACTGTGGTGATGATCGCTCAGCCATTATTTCATCTTGAAAAGAAAGTTGTAGTGTTATTCTTATGTAATCATCGTCAATGAATTTTTATTCGTTTTTTTTCTCTCGTACAGTTTTTTCTCACTAAAGAAAATAGATTTTGCAAAAAAAAATAAAGAAAAGTATCTGATCATTATCATATAAGTGTAACATTAGCCAAAGAACAATATTTTTGTATATGCGATAGATGTTCCGTTGATAAACCAGTTTTCATCAGGTTAAGAAACTAAAAAACAAAAGAACAAAATGTTTTTCAGCAATAACAAAACCAGTAAACAAACTTGATTCGGATGAGAAGCAGTTAATGTTTGTAAACATTTTGCTAGATGGCATCGAGCATCCGGTATACTTGTACTAAATATATCTATATGAGGCTTTTTAGCAAAAGCCAAACAGGAAAAAGCTGGAGTATAATCTTAAATAATACAAATAAAAATATATATATGGGATAAATATGACACAATTGAATGACGTTGTTTTTTTCTTCCTTTCTATGCATAGAAGACTACATTCTTCTTACCTGGCGTATCATCTAATCCAACAAGTAACTCTTCTTCAGCTTCTTCTTGTGCTTGTTTCTTTTTCTCTGCATATGACATTGTTTGTAATTCATTACTAGATTCAAATAATTGAAGTAATGATTGTAATAATGGTAACCATAACTGTACAAAATAGACTCCACTTATCATTGGTATTGGATCACATAATAAATGTGTTACACCGATTGCACATAATTTTTTATCATTTTCATCGATTTTTGATAATTCAGGTAAAAATAATCGGTCAATTACCATTTGGAACATACTAAAATAAAAGAAGAAACAATGCGAGTTTTATTTAAAGTAAAAATAAAAATAATCTAAATAAAAAAAATTTACTTCGCTTGAATATTATCAACTTGTGTAATAAGTTCTTGTGCACCGTATTTAACAACAAAATAACAAAAGAAAATAATAATGCATTTAATTAATTTTTGTGTTTTAGCTTTTGTTAAACGAGTAAATATAACGACGAATATATCTTTTAAGTAATTTTCTAAATGTATCCGTGGTAAATGAACAACTAACGAATTTAATATAGCAAATCCTTCGTGATCATGAACTTTTGATTGAGAAACAAGACGTTGGAATATACCAAGAACTACGGTCTATTGAAAATTTCATTACACGATAAAGAAAAAAATTTATAAAATCTTTCTTACTAATTTTTCCAATACAATATTTTCGCCACCTTTCTCAATATAAGCTTGTAAAAGTCTTGATAACGCTGGAATATTTCCACTACGATCCCAAAATGCAGGTGTAAGAATCAATTGAAATAATATTCGATACGCTTCAGGCAACGATGTTGATCCCGTTGGATGAGATTCTATTAGAAACCCAAGAATCTGTAGTACATATGGAACAAATTCTAAATAGTAAAATTTCTTAAAGAAAATAAAATGAAATGAAAAATTGATTTATACCAGCAATATCTTCTGTAAATATTGGCGTAAATATTGGAAAAAGAATTTGTTCAAATTGATTGAGTACACCAACGTTTTGTGTGACACTTGTACGGATCAATACAGTTATTGTTTCAAATAAATAATGATTAAAGTTTGGCTTACTAGGATTCTAAATGAGAAATTTTCCAGAGTTCTTTTTTTATTAAAAATAATATCTTTGGAAAAAGATCTTCAGTATTAATCAAATTTTAAAATTATGTTCAGATTTCTTTACTTAAGTAAGTAAAGAAAAATAAACTTTAGACTAAAGAGTTGATAAACACAAAGAACTTCTTGTACAGAATCTTCACTTTATTGATGTCCAAATATAATACATAATAAAATAATTTTCTGTTATAGTATGTATAGAAAAGAATTTATTATATATTCTCTTATGAAAACATACCCAATAACCTATAAATCAGCTTGATGGCTTGTACCATAAGAGAGAATGAGAATAGTCTCAAAAAATCTAAATCATTGTATTCTTCGGCATCATATGTGAATCGAACGGAAGCAGGCTATTTAGTTATGAAATTTATGTCATATTATATCAATTTAATATATCGAGATTTTTAGAATCAAAATCAATCATTATCGATACACCAATACTCTTGAAATGTTTCTGCAATCTTCTATAATGATGATGATATAAAGCTCAATATTGATGTTTCCCATATTATTGAAAACATTGACCATGACACGATATATCATCAATATTGTACAGGCAGAGAAAAATGATCAAAAACTTGCTTTTTATTTCAGCGTTTAATTTATAAACAACAAAAGTAAGAATACTAGGAAAATCTATGCGAAAAGGCATTTCAAATCGAACTTCATCGATGATTGTTATTGTACGAACAAAGAATTTTTCTTCTTTGCACATCTCTCGAGAAAAACTAATCTGTTCAGATTTTTTATTAATAAAAAAATCGTTAGAAATTTCTTGAAAAGTTTCAAAGAGTTTTTACTTACTCGACTTGATCGTCGTAAAATCAGAACCAATTTATCCATTAATTGACTTAAATAAGGTAAAACTCCTTCATGAAGTGATGAAGATAATCTCATAACAGCCCGCATAACATATTCATTTTCATATGATTTATCTGATGTCAATATTTGAAATAACTTATCATACATGGACTGTGCATATGGAATTAAATCATTCTTTGTTATTCTTAAATGATAAAATAAAATAATAAAATATTACGCATGAAAGAAATAATGATCTATACGCTGTATGTTTTTGATCAGCAGGATGCCGAACAAGTAGCAAACGTTCCAAAGCATGTGCTGCGTAAGTTTGTACAACAACATTTTGTGATGATAGATATCGAGTACATTCAGGTAAGGATTTAACTAAAGAATCACGATCAAGTTGATTTCGAACATAAATTAAAAATTTTAAACAATCAGCTTTTATTAAAGGAAGACTATTCACTAGAAAAGATTTTAAAAAATGAAACATGAAATAAGAATTTTACTACAATTGAAGAAATTTTACCGTCTGGACTTTGAAGTTCTGGTAATACACTATTAGAATAATAGACTGGAATACTAATAAATGAACTTGTTTTTGTTATGCCCAACTGAAAACCAAAAAACAAAACTTGAATGAAATAAAAAAAGATCGAACAAACTTTTTGTGTTTCGCCTTTCGAAGCGAGTGATAAGACTAGAAAAATACATGTATCTTTTTTTGACCAATTTAGTGTTGGATTTTGTAAATATTCCTAAAAGAAATTATTTATCAATAAATAAAATAAACAACATCGACAATTTACTTTTTGCATAGTTTCAATATATTGACTGTAAAGAGCAATAACTTGTGATTCAAAAAAGATACAAAGTGCTTGAAGAAAATCGCAAGCAGCGCGACGACGTGTTGCCGAATCTAAAGAGCAAGAAACAAAAATCATTTATTTATGCTTATAGAAATTTTTTAAGAAATATAAACGTGAAATTAATATTTTTCGATTACTAGATCTTCAATAAAAACAAATTAGTGATGAAAGAAATACACATGGGATCTTATCGTGAATTGTTCGAATAAATAACTTAAATTATTATTAGGAGTCATGAAAATTATATTTCTACGTGAATTAAATCGAGAAGATTTTTCTAAATGAATGATCTATCGTCATATTTGTTAAGCATCGATGACTAATTCAATATTTACCAGATTTTTCAATATCTTTTCGAATATATTCTTCTGGATTATCTTCAAATTCTTCAATATCGGATTCTAAATGAAAATTCATTTGAAATAAAAGACAAAAAAGACTAAACTAAATTAAAACCTCGAAGAAATAAATTCGGTAGAATAACTTGTTCACACACAATTTTCAATATGTCACCACCTTCAAACATACTACAATGATGACTTCGAGCAGCTAATGTTGATAAAAATCGCATGGCTGTACCCACAAGCTAAAAGACAAAAGTATAATCACCATTTTACAATATTTTAGAAATATCAAAAAAGTAGTGATGATAATTCTTTCTTCTTGCAATTGTTGACAATTGTTCAATAGTTGTTGCATTTAGAAAAAGATTTCTTTACGAACTATTTACTATAATATGTAATGGGCCATTTAGATGCTACTTAATGAAGAAATACGGCTAATTTTTTATTGTAAAATTTTAGAAGTTAGATAACAAGAATTCAGTAAACCGTTGTATCTGAAACTGGAAAAGAAGTCCTAATATTGTTTCAACTAGTCCAGCCAAACTTTTAGAGATCCCGGATCATCAAATTTGTCTTCTAGATTGAAAAGTCACATGTTTTTCTAATTCGGAAAATTATTCAACTTTTTTTTATCGAAAATAAACATACATCTAACAATGATAAAATAGTAGAGAAATAAATTTCCTTCAACTCTTTTATAACGAATTCAAATATCCTTGCCACTAAACTTTTTAGAGTACAAAGAAAAATTAAATAAAACTTTACATCATCAAAACTTGGTGAAAGATTTAATCGTGTTAATAAAGACCAAATTGCTAAGGCAAATTGCGGTGCAAATGGTTTAAATTCATCACTATAATTATCAGCATAAAGAGCAACAGCACGACAAATTTCTGTCTTAACTCTATCTAATATACCAGGATCATGTTTCTAAAATAGTTTTCAAAATAAAGTTATGCATTCAATTAAAAACAAAATCAACTCCTACATCAGAATGAAGATTTGGATGGTCAAATGAAAGTAACGCCATGAAGTGTGTCATGTAAAGTGTTAAATTATCTTCAAAATGCTCTGGTAATTCCTATCGAAAGTAAATTTTATTTAATAACATAAAATAAAAAAATTAATTTTACTTGAGCATTGAGATCATAAAAGATCTTGATACAAACATATAATGAATCAAAAATATTTTTCATTTCTACTATATCGGCTATTTTTTGTGGATAATAAGCCACTAAGGACTAAAATATTCGAAGAAAAATCAAATCAGTTGAGGAAAATAATTTTGTTCAAATTCTACTTTAAATAATTCTG